TTACTGTGGGTTTTTCCAAGACTTTATTTTATAGAAATGAAGGAAGAGATATATATTTGTCCTTGTGTGTAAACTAACATGATCTAAATCAGAGCAGTCTAACTTTTCCTTTGCTAGAGAATATTTCCTTCCAACAAAAGCTCACCCCACAAAAGGGCACAAGCCAAATCATAGCAAAGTGCTCTGGTTGCAGGAGGTCCCTTTCCTGAGATCCCCGAATAAGCTCTACAGACCAGAGATGGAAACCCATGCATTTAAATGCAAAATGTGTGGCTTTACAGGGCGGGGGAGTGGGGCGGGTGGGGGAATGTATTCAAAGTAGCATGACAGCTTAGGAAAACTGCTTCTTAAGCTCTAAATACGTCTTAGCAAATTGATCAGATATATACAGAAGTAACAAACATACTACAGAATAAATATATTTTCAACACTCTCACACGCATATATTTATATAGAGAGCAATCTAAACGCATTAGCATTCATAAACACAAAGTTGAATGTTTTTCAGAGCTACAGAAAGGAAAGATCAGTGTCTGCATTCCACAGTAGTTTTCTTAAGAGCTGGTTAAGAACTAAGTTCTGGTCATGCTGCCCAAGTACTTTTTAGCAGCTTCTAAGCATCAGGGTTTTTTCCACCAATAAGCCAAGTCTCACAATCAAATGTACCTTGCTGGGACATAATGAGGATTAAATGAGATAATATATGCTAACCAGATAGAGCAGGACCTGACACTTAGCAAGATTTCAGTGAATATCAATTATTCTTCTTAAAATAATATTAAAATGAGCTCTTGTATTTCCCCATAAGTATTTATTTCCTTTTTCTGTCCAAATATCTCTTGGCAACTAAGAGGTACTTCTATTTCCTCAATGACAATTAATGCCAAAAACTGATGGGCAAATTATAGAAAATTCATAATAACAAATAATGAGCCAGATTATTTTTGTGGAAACCTATAATTACTTCAATTCAACAACTGCTCACTGAGTACCGTCTAAGCCCTGCTAAGCCATTGAAGGGATGTGAACATGGCCAAAGTCCAATGCTCTGCCCTCAAGAAGCTTCTAATGCAGCAGAAGAGGAAAGATAAACCTGTTAAAATTAGAGAAAGGAGGCCGGGAGTGGTGGCTCACACCTGTAATCCCAGCACTTTGGGAGGCAGAGGAGGGAAGATCACAAGGTCAGGAGATCGAGACCATTCTGGCTAACATGGTGAAACCCCTTCTCTGCTTAAAAGACAAAACAATTAGCTGGGCCTGGTGGCGCGTGCCTGTAGTCCCAGCTACGTGGGAGGCTGAGGCAGGAGAATCGCTTAAACCAGGGAGTCAGAGGTTGCAGCGAGCCGAGATCATACCACTGCACTGCAGCCTGGTGAGAGAGAGAATCCATGTCAAAAAAAAATAGAGAAAGGAGGAAGAGTATTGTATCAGTTTCCTAGGGCTCCCATAACAAACCACAAAGAAGGTGGCTTAAAACAACAGAAATGTAAGGCTGGGTGCAGTGGCTCACACCTGTAATCCCTGCCTTTTGGGAGACCGAAGTGGGTGGATCATCAGAGGTCAGGAGTTTGAGACCAGCCTGATGAAGTTAAAGATACAAAAATTATCTAGGCATGGTGATGCACACCTGTAATCCCAGCTACACGGGAGGCTGAGGCAGGAGAATCACTTGAACCTGGGAGGTGGAGGTTGCAGTGAGCCAAGATCGCACCACTGAACTCCAGCCTGGGCAACAACAAGGACAAAAGGAAAAACAATAGGAATGTATTCTCCTACAACTCTGGAGGCTGGAAGTTGGAAATTGACGTGTCAGCTGGGCCATGTTCCTCCTGAGATTCCGGTAGACTCCTTCTTTGACTCTTCTAGCTTCTGCTGGTGGCTGTCAGTCCTTGGCATTTTTGGTTTGCAGCTGCATGACTACAGTCTCTATCTCTGTCATCACATGGTCTTCCCCTTGCAGGTCTCTGCCTTACGTTATCTTATGAGGACACTGGTCATATTAGATTAGGACCCACCCTAATGACTTCATCTTAACTCAATTACATCTGCAAAGATGCTATTTCCGAAAAAAAGCCACATTCACAGGTATGGGGTTAGGACTTTAATGTATGCTTTTGGGGAGGACATAATTTAACCCATAGCAATAATAAGGGGGTTTGAATAAAGATGGCTTTCTATAGATTGCAAAGTATTAATAAAATACTTTGATAATGGTTTCTGTTGCTTTTCGGTTAGGAGATATGACGCACAGGGAATATCATGACCAAAGCCACAATCCCTCAGGGAGAGCCTTGTGGTTTTTGTTTGTTTGTTTCTGTTTTGCATGTAGAATTAAGCAGTTGGAATACAAGACCTTTTAACTTCCATTCTGGATACAAGAATCTGTGATTTATCAAACCTAGCACATGCCTGAAATAAAATATATAATGATGGTCAAATGAACTCAACATTTATTGTACTTGGCAATTTTGATTTGCAAATATATTTTATTGTTTATAAGTTTGCATTGACCAGACTAATTTTACTTAGTCTGTGTTCCAGGGGTAGGCCCGTTCTTTCTTTCAATACACACGAGAAACTTCAGTAACCTTCATAGGAAGTCGTAGTGAAGCTCGGCTCAAAAGGCCAAGCGGGCTATCTGATTGCAGCAAGAACAAATATATCTAGCATTTTTTGTACCTTATTTTGTGATCACCTCTTAACATGAAGTGTCTCATTTAATCTTCACGATAACTTGATTGGTTGATTCTATTATGGGCATCCCAATTTATAAATGAAAAAACTGAGGACAGGAAAGTTTAGATAACTTAATAAGTCACAAAATTTGTAGTGAAGTGAAGATTCAAACACAGCCAGTCTGACTCTAGATCCCTAGTGTTTTGCTACTTTATTACTCCAAATGTGGTCCATGAGCCAGCCACAGGGCTACCTGAAGCCTTGCTAGAAATGCAGAATCCCAGGCTGCACCCCAGACCTACTCCCAAGGGACACATACGCACACTCAGGACTGAGAAGTGATGCTGTGGTACTCAGGACCAATTCCCCTTTAGATACTCAGTTGACTCTGCAAAGCAATGAATGAAGACCAGGGACAACACTGGACTATTTTGATGTTCCTTGTTAGTAACTACATTCAAAAGAATTGTGACTAGATGCAAGCTATGTCTCTGGTTTTACTCTTGCTCCTTCTTGATCTGCTCTCCATATGGCAGCCAGCACCTTCATAAAATAGAAATCCGATCTCACAGCATCATTCCCATCAGAGATAGATCCAGGCTTTGTGAGGCTGGAAGCTTATAAAATTGGGGAAGGGAGTTCTTAAAGAAAAAGAGCCCCTAAATAAATATAAAGTGAAATACAAAAGTAAATATATAGAAAAGCAACATGCCATTTTTATAAATTATTCATTGGACACATTACTACGATATGTTTTATTTAAATTTCTCACTGCATTGCCTTTGATTACATCCTCATATGATAACACTTTTTTGTGATAGCATTTCCTATACAGATAACAAAAAGGTAATTCAATCTTACTTGTAGTGTTGTTGGCTGAAATTTGCTTTTTAATATAGATACTTTCGTATTGATAATTTAGCATACAACTTCATACATATGCATACACACACATATTCTCACTGCTTATCATAAAAACACAGGAATTCTAAGTTCTATTTTTCACAACTCTTATACGAAAAGGAAAAAAATAGGCATTATAATTGTACTTCGCTATCCTGAAAGATAAGTATAAATAAAGAATAAATCCTCTGCTTAGAATTGTATGCATCTGATGACTAGAATGTTCCATGGACTAGCATCCACCACATACACCTCAAATCTTTTCGTTTCCACTACCTGCTTACTCCCAGGGCTGGGTGCTGTAAGACACACTCATAGTGCAATGCGAACCAATGGTTGTACACCTTCATGTCATAATACTGGGTAAGCCAGCACCTATTATGAGATGGTTAACAACATTAGCCATACACAGAAATGGCTATGAGCCATATAACTGTATTTCACCAAGCCAAGTTAGATGTATACCATTCAACCTCCTTGGAACCAGATCTAAAAAATGACCACAGCCACTCCAATGCCACTCCACAAAAGGGAGTGTGATGGAAGGGATGTCAGTATGGAAAAAGAGAGTGGTCCTAAACAATTGCCAGTTTTATAAAACCATGACTTCAAACACATACAAAGCTACAGATCCTCCCAGGTTTTTTAAAGGACTCGTGCAAGTGGGAGGTCCTGAAGCTGAAGCTTCATTAATTTCATGGTAAATCTGCCTCTAGCCTCTATTTTAAACAAGCAAGCAACAATGACAATAAACTTTCACTCTTCATTGACTTACCATTGCTCTTAGGATAAAATTCAACCCCTTTACCCTGGCCGACACCTTCTCCAACCTCATCCATTACCATATTCCCCTGAGCAAACTACTGTCCAACCCTTCTGACCTCTTCCATTTCTCAAAGGATACGGAGTTCTTTCTGCCTCCTGAATTCCTTTCCTTCTGCCTGAAATGCTTGTTTTCTCTCTCTGGTCATGGCAGAATCATTTTCTTCTGAAGGCGGCATCACCTCATCCCAGACCTCAGGTGATGTATTTCATCTCTTCACTATGTTTATTGCTGCCATAGCACCTATCACATTGTGTAACCATCTTGATCATCTCTGTTTCAGTTGCATTATCTGCCTCTCACTGGAATTTAATCTCCATCATGGCAGGTCCCTTGTCTTGTTCACCACCTTTATTAGTCAGTTTTCATGCTGCTGAAAAAGACGTACCTGAGACTGGGTAATTTATAAAGAAAACAAGGTTCAATGGACTCACAGTTCCATGTGGCTGGCAGTGTGGTGGGGGGCTCACAATCATGGCAGAAGGCCAAAGGCACATCTTACATGGCGGTAGACAAGAGAGAATAAGAACCAAGTGAAAGGGGAAACATCTTATAAAATCATCAGCTCTCTTGAGACTTATTCACTAACTTGAGAACAGTATGGGGAAATCGCCCCATGATTCAATTATCTCCCACAGGGTCCCTCCCACAACACATGGGAATTATGGGAGCTACAATTGCAAGATGAGATTTGGGTGGGAACGCAGTCAAACCACATCACCACCGTATCATACCCTTTGCTCAAAACAGTGTCTGGGACACAACAGAATTCAATACATATTTGTTGAGTGAATGATTAATAAATCTGGGATGTCAGAAGAGATGAGCATAAATAAAAATCTAAAACTATGAAATTAAAATAGTGATTCATTACAGTTGCCACACTCACTACATTCTTGGCTAAGGAGCTAAGCAGTGATCCACTTATTTAACAAGTATTTTTGAGCTTCTAATGTGCATATTACAAAATGCTAGAAAACATGAAAAACAAAGAGCCTATTTCCTTATTAGATTGTAAACAATCTGAAACCATCATAATCTAGCTATAATTTAGTTAGAGAAAGAAAAAAACATACAGATGGAAACAAAATACAAGGTATAGATTGAGATATCTCATGACGAGTTCCAAATTATTAAATAGACAGAGAATGCCATGGAAAATTGGTGAGAGCTGGAGATGGGATGGAAGTCTCCCTGGAGAAGTCTCTTGAGATGGACCTGGAGGAGTGGTAAATACAGAATTTGGCAAAGTGAGAAGCCTGAGAAGCAACAGGAGTAAAAATGCAGAGGTGGGTGATGAGAATGGATGGGGGTTCTATACTCAAAGGAGTGAATGGCACACAAAAAAACATGGTGGGACATTGGCTTTTGCAAGACAGCTACAACTGAAAAAGTGAATGGCAGAGTGGAGCTGCAGTGTGCTGTCAGATCCTCCTGCAGAATGAAGTACTTACTCCCCAGGGTCCAGGAGTGCTGCAGCAGTCCATTCTTCTGGAATTGCATTAGCTAAAGAGAAATGCCTGGTCCAAAGCCCCACTCCCTCTCCTCACATGCCTCTTTTCCAGTTGGTTGAAGGAAGAGGATGAAGGCCCACAACCTTGCCCCAAATCAGAGCAATTCTGAATAGTCATCCTTGGGTGTCCATGGGGCAGGCTGAGGCCTTTGTTGAGACTTCGACAGAGCCCAGCTTCTCCCTCTGCCTCACTGCGCTTTCTGCCCTCCCTTCCGCATGGGTTGGTCCCAAGTGTCTTCCCTAAAAAGCTTCATGCACACTGATCACCACTTCAGAGTTTACTTCCCAGGGAATCCAAACTGGTATCAATAGGTAGATCCATCATTTGTCAATTCCATTATTGAAGCACTTGACTTTCTTTAAACTGATGCGAGAAACAGATTTTAAACTCACAATTTGATTCTTTTTTGACAAAAAAATAATTTCCCTGTAAATGTATCTTGCCTCAGATAGTACTAAATTAATCACAAAGAAGAAAAAGGAGAATGATAAGAAGAAAGAACTCAATGCTGAAATATTTTTATAATGATTTCAAAAAATAGCAAATTTTCACACATTTTAAGGAGAAATATAGACTTTTTTTAAAAGGCACTAGTGAAAGTTTTCACTTGGTCCAAACTTTTTTTTTTTTAGTCTCCTGCATTCCTGAAACTGATGCCAAACTTCTTTCAAAAGAAACAGGGAAAAAATAACCAAATTAATTCTATGTAAGCCAGGCATCATCATATAAGATGAAAGTTTGTATTTGTTCAATACAATCTTGGAATTAAATTCAATTGTAGAACACAAGGGATATAAAACTCTAGAATCTGGTCTGCTCAACCCATCAAAGCCATTTCAAAGCTAATTGAAGTGATTTGTCTATGTTGTTACACATTGTCTGCAAGTTTAAATAGGGCACGCTTGGGAATTAATGCAGTTGATGGCTACTATTGATAAAAGCATCCCTTACAAAAGCAAGGAGTAATTAAAGAAACACATACACATAATCGATGTTCAGAAAACCCCAATTCCTTCAAGAGTCATCCATATGTTTTGAATGCAAACCACATAAGGGGTGGTTTTACTCTGGTAAAAATCTTTACAGAGGTCAATTAACATATTTAGGGCATAAGCTGATCACTAGCTGAGGACACAGGGACTGTAATTTTTACATGTTCTACTCACTGGAGCCACTGCAGGAGACAGGAAACTGGGTTAATATTAGAGCCCCTTGTTGATCATTGGTCTGTGCTAACACTCACTAACGACACTTCATTCTGCAACCCTAAAAGGCAATAGGCATAGTGTTTACAAGCATGCAATTGGAAGCAAAATTAGCTCACATCCCGGCTATCCACTTTCTTCTATCACATAGGATGGTTGTGAGAATTTAATGAGTTACCATATAAAAACTCTTGGAACTGTGCCTGGATTATAAAGACATCAGTTGTCCTTGAAAAACAAATCCAATTTTTAAAATTTTGCCATTTGAAATGAGTTTCTGTATTTGTGTCATTTCCCAAGCAGGATGATCTCTCAGCATTACTCCTGGTAAAGTTAACTGGGACAGTCTGGTTGTCTCATAGTGGAATTAAGTAACCCAAGGGCCAGCCATCAAGCACTGGCTTGGCTCAACAGACAACCCAGCTCTTTATATCTTACAGCAATAAACGTTCCAGAGTATCATTTCTGGAGGCACAATGGAATAAATACATTGAATGAGCCTCTGGAGGAGAATAACAAAGACAGCTGGATAAAATATTAAAACTGTTTCTTTAAAGGCACTTTGGAACTATCAAGAAAGGAAGAAATGCTCAGAGGCTTAATAAAAAATGAGAATGCTTTTACAGGTCCTGGGACCAAATCTATCCTCTGCTGGTGGCATCTGCCCAGCTCCAGTACTTTGGAGCCTCCAGAAGCACAGGAGACTAAAAGAAAGACTTGGCCTGGACCAAGCTGTCTGCAGGGCTGGATCAGCATTTACTCACCTGTTTCAGGTATAGCATTTAAGGGAGCACCAAAAAACCCTGAACTTGAGACAAAGAATATTTTAATGTAATATTTTTAAAAATCAAAACTAACACAAAAAAATCCATGATGAACAAAATAGCAAAACTGTAAACAAAGTAAACAAAGATAAACTGTTGCTATTTATTTGATTTGCAACCCAGCCAAGGACAGTAAAAGTATGAGTCAATGTCATTCACGAAAACAAATATATCAACACATTATCAATTTCATGGAGAAAAAACACCTTTCCAAAGACGCAAACACATCATTAAATAATGTCCGTTTGCAACAAAATCTCTTTACAAACTAGTAATAAGAGAACTTTCATATTGTTATGAAGGATTTATACAAAATACCCACACCAAGAATGGCAGTTAATGGTAAAATGTTAAATAACTCCCTTCAATATCAAGACCAAGGCAAATTGTACATCATAGTTGGCTTTATTCAGCATTGTACAGGAGACATCAGCTAATGCTGTAGTACAAGAAAAAGAAATAAAATAAAATGTGTAAAATATAGAAGAGAAAATAAGTAAAGCTCATTATTAAAAGATAATATCATTTGTATGCCAAAAATAATCAAATAACCAACAGGTAAATATTAAGATTAATAAGTGTGTTTATCAAATTTCCAAGATTAAAACTAATACACATTACTTAAGATAATCTTATTCATTGTGACACATCTCAGTGGCTTAACAAAAGAAGAATTTGTTTCTCAGTAGGTAGAGCTAATTTAATGGGAAACAGGTAAGAGATGGGGCTCTACTCTTTCAAGTTACTTGTGGGTCCATTGATGGAGATGCCATCCTGCTCAACTTGTGACTTCCAAAGTTGTTGTGAACATCCAACAACATACAGGGAAAGAGAGACTGGGGAGCTGTAAAGGAGGCTCTTATGAGCCAGATAACATATCTAGGAATTAATATGACAAAATATGTGCAAGTACTTTTTGAGAAAATTTTCAGCTTTTTTGTAAGATCTTAATAAGCAGAGAGATATTCCATGTGCACAAATGGGAAATAAAACAATATCATATTAATCTATAGCTATAATGCAATTGAATCCAAATGCTAAAAGCATTGTTTATGGTACCTGGAAAACTAATTCTAAAATGTGTATGGAAAGCAAAGCACTAGGAACAGCCATAACACTCTTGAAGGAAAATAGGGTAAAAGGCCCTCCCCACCCCTACCAAGACTAATTCTAAAACTGCAGTAACTAAGGCAGTGTGGAACTGATACAGTGTTAGACAAGGCAGATTGATGGAACAAAACAGAAAAGCCAGAAACAGTCCATACTTAAAAAAAAAAAAAAAAAAGGAAAAAAACCTTGACTCATGACAAAGTGACAGACAGGCATTGAAGATCAGTAGGGGCAGGGGAACTATGCAAAAAATGCTAGTGCGGAATTTGGTTATGTAATGAATTTTTAAATTCAGATTGAACCCCTATGCCCCACCACACATAAAAATCATCTATTCAAATTAAATAAAAATATTTCATTGTGAAAGGCAAAATGATACATTTTTGAGAAGACAGTGCATAAGAATATATCTCCCATTTTGGGGGGTGGAGAAGACACATGAAATGTTTTTATAAAGCTCAGAATCTTAGAGGAAATGATTAACAAATTCAACTTCTTTTATATTAAGAAATTCTGCTTGTCTGAGGGCTCTAAAGGAAGATGAGAAAACAAACTAAAAGAAGATACTTGATACACATATGTGAGATAAAAATTAGTATTTGAATATGTTAAGAACTCCAACAAATCAATATAAAAAGAGACAAACAACCCAAATATAAAAATGAGTAAAAGACATGAACAGGCATTTCATAGAAGAGGAAACATAAATGGCCCCAAAACATGGAAAATTCTCCATTAGTAATCAGGGAAATGCAATTTAAAACCACAATGAGGTATCATTTCACATGTATTAGGTCAGCAAAAAATTTAAACATTGAACAAAAGGTAGTGTTTGGAGATTAAATTGGTATCATCACTTTAGAAAACTATTATGTGCGACCTAGTAAAACTGAATATGTGCATCAGTGAAAGGTTGAGGTAGAGATCTAAGCCCCAACTTACCAGTGACAACAGCAGCCAGGGATGTGACAGAATCTGTTTATATCAGTCAGTCACGCCAATGTCCCAGTTTAATGTCTTCAAATCTGGGAAAAGAAGCGGGTTTGAGGTAAGAGTACCCAGGCACCAATCTTGTCTCCCACTACTTACTAACTGTGAGCCTTTGGCAAGATCCTTAACTTCTCTGTGTCTCAGTTTTACCATCTGTAAATGAGGACAATAAGGTTGAACACTTGGTGAGTGCTATCATAATGATGGATTCTGTGAAAATTTCACTGGAGATGAGGATGAAAGTATAAGAAGCTGGGGGTGGCCCAGCTTGGAACATCACCAACTGAGGACACTTAGTTGATATCCCTTAATATTTGGGCTTACCATCTCCTCAGGACTATTCTGTAGGCAGTGGGTGACGTCTCAGGTGAAAGCTAAGTTTGGTACATCTTTATTTCTTAGCTAGAATATTGTGTGTTCCTAACAATTTCACACAAGTCAGGAAAAAAACAAACAAACAAAAAAAGAAAAACACAAATTCCATGTCCAGCTTCCAAGAATAAATGAAGAACATGAAGTCACTTGCTATTTTAAAAGCTAATTGCTAGTAAAATACTTTCAGATTCACATTTCCTGTGAAATAAAATTCTGCCTTTGAAATGAAAGTCTCTGGCAGAACTACTCAGCAACACCTTTCTTCCAAGCAGGGGTTTTCCTTTAGTACAGAACACACTGTTCCCTAGTCAGAAAAAGATTGATTTAATTTTAAAGGGGAGACAATGAAAGCATATAACTGTTAACACACATTTAAAAATATATGTGTCACATCACCAAAGAGACATAGATGTTGGTGAACTCTTTTGTTTTTGTAAGTTTTATGGTGAAGAAATAAAATATATAAAGATATCCAGCTTAGTGTCTGAAATTGAAAATAACAAAGAAGTATTCGACTCTAATTGGTTAAATGACTCAATATTTTTAACATTGATACTTTTCCTATATGTATACTATCAGTTCTTCTCAAAAAGCTAGATTATTTAGAGAATAAGAAGGAATATGAAGAAAAAAGATAATCTCCAGCTTGTACAGATCAAATAATAAACGTTACTTCACTAAGTTGAATATATTGAGTTTAAGCATATAATTATTCAGCTTCGAATGTTGGTTTACCTACAAAATTGTACAAACTGTTAAATTCTTACAAATCATTTGGTGTCAAGAAATTTTTTAAAAACCATTCTCTTCTCTTCTCTCCTTCCTGGTAAAAAAAAGGTGGAAGAATAGTCCTCTCCTGCCCTCTCCATTTCCTCATCTCTGGTGTACACTTTTCATTTTGGAAAAGTATTATACAATTTTTAAGATCTAAAAAGGTACAGAGGCCAGGTATGGTGGCTCATCCCTGTAATTGCAGCAGTTTGGGAGGCTGATGCAGGTGGATCACTTGAGGTCAGGAGTGGAGACCAGCCTGGCCAACATGGTGAAACCTGTCTCTACTAAAAATTAAAAAATTACCCAGGTCTGATGGCAGTGTCTGTAATCCCAGCCACTCAGGAGGCTGAGGCAGGAGAATCACTTGAACCCAGGAGGCGGAAGTTGCAGTGAGCCAAGATGGGTGCAACCTGGGTGACAGAATGAGACTCCATCTCAAATAAATTAAATTAAATTAAATTAAATTAAATTAAATTAAAGATATAGAGAATACAACAACAAATACTCATCTACCTACCTCCAAGCTTAATAAGCAACATATTTACAACATAGTTGAAACTTTCTGTGAATGCTTCCAGATCAGATAACTCTCCTTCTTGAATTTGGGCTATGCTATTCCCAAGCCTCTCTTCATAATCTTATTATTTATGTATCCTTAAACCACATGAAATATTGTTTGAATTTAAATTTGATATAAATGATGTCATAGGTTATGTATTCCTCTGCAACTTATTTGACTCACTCAGCATTATGTGTGTGCGAATCATCTACGACGTGCCTAGAGTTAATGTTCATTAATTTTCACTGCTGTATAGCATTCCACTATATGAAGACGCCATAACATGGTCTAGATTAGTGACTACTATAAACAGTAATTTACTTCTGTGAATGGACATTAGTTATCTTCAGATTTTTATGCCACATGCTCTCCAATGTTCGATATAGCCTACTTACCTTACCTTTTTGCCAAGTCATTTAATTTGTATATTTCTTATTACTGGTATTAGTAAGTCTCTTTTTTGTGATAAGTTTATGGATATTTAAGTTTTCCCTCCTGAAAATTGTTCCACCTGTCAATCTTTTTGAGGGAGAGTTTTTTTTGTTTCGTTTTGTTTTTTTACTTTTAACATTGTCAAATTTATCAAGCCTTTTATTTATGATTTAATACATTCTTCTTTATCCCAAGGTCATAAAGATATCTTCTTATATTTTTCTTCTATAGCAATTTTGCCTTTCAAATTGTTCCACTAAGGATTGATTTTTGTACATAAGGAGCAGCAGGGATCCAATTTCATTTTGTTTTTCCCTAGAGGACAGTGAAATGCCCCAGAACCATTTATTGAATAGTGTATCTTGTGTCCACTGGTCTGCAATACCCATTCAGACATAAATCAGTTTTCTATATATGTGTAGGCTTCCTACACCTTCCTTCTGGAAGGAATTTCTTATTTTTTTTTTAATTGAATTGAATCCCTTAGCAGTTGTTGCTAGAAGGGTCAGTGGTAGTAATCTTTCTTAGAAATGTATGAAAATATTTGCCTTTTCTTGAATGACATTTAAGTGGATATACAATCTAGTTTCCCCCAGCATTTTGAAGATATTGCATTGCCTTCTCATATCTATGATCACAGAGATGGTGCATGAGAAGTCAACCCTTGATTTGACTTGTTCCTTTATACATGATCTCTCTTACCTCCTCTAGCTTTGAACTTTTTTCCTTTATCTTAGATGTTCTTCCATTTTAGTATAAAGTTTCTAGTTGCAATATTTTTTTTTTATTTCTCCTGCTTGGGGTTCTGCATGACTTTTCCAATTTAGGATTATTTTCGTTTAACTTTTAAAAAGTTTTAGTCATTCTTTTTATTATTGCTTCCCACAAGGCTCTTTATTTTCTCTTTCCAGATGTTATATTAGGTATATATTGACTCTTCTCATGTAGTTCCCATTTCTCTTCTTTCTGCTTTTCATATTTTCCCTCTCTTTGTGTCTTTGTGATGCATTCTGTATAGTTTCATCAGATATACTTCACATTTCTCTTTCTCGTCATCTCCATCCACTCTTGTTTAATCTATCTATTGATCTTTATTTTAATAACTATGTGTTTCATTGTTTAAAATGTCTGTATGCTTCATTTTTATAAATCTGTGTGTTCCTTTTTCCCAAAAAATAAGTCCTGCTATTGAATTAGGAATCTTACTCCTTATTTTCTCCCTTTGAACAATTTAAATGTCTATTTTAAAGTCTCTGAGATACTGCACTATTCTGTTTTAAAGTGTCTCTCCAATGCAAGTAAGTCTCCTGAGTGCTATGAGTTTTTTTCCTCTGAGCTTGTCTCAGCACCACTGTCTACTGTGGCATCTCTGGGTTCTGCGTTCAGGAGATTCTATTCCTGCCCATCATCCAGGGCAGATGGAGCAAATCTAGCATCTTTTTCAGGCCAGTCAGTGAAGTTTTTTTGGGTCACTGACTAGATAGCCCATTTGTTGGTCTTGACTCCCCACTAGACAGGGAAATTATAGACTTGACTTTGGCCCTCAGTAGGTTTCATAATCCTGCTTACTAAAGTATGTTTCCTGTCCTGGAAGCTGAGTGCACATCCTTGACTCCCTTATATTCACATCTGATATGCTCACCTGAGATGCTGATCACCGCCTGCAGAGGTCTGTCCTGTAGACCTTGACTCAGTGACGGATGAATAAATGCACTTACATACCCCAGAATACGGTGAATCGAGTGGACTAGGGATGGTCATCAGCTGCTTTCAGAGGGCGATTGCAACTAACCCACCATCACTCTCTGTTCTTTTTCACATTTATTCAGTATAGATTTCAAACAGGTTCTAAGTCAACATGTTTGTGGATAATTAACATGGTTAAAAGAGTGGTTTTACAAATGATAAAAGCTTTTGGTTCCAGGACCCAGAACAAACACCATTAACAGCCAATTCCTCTTCAACCTCCCTCTGAGAGGACCATCTAGCACAAAGTTTACATGAGTAAACAGTTAGAGTAGAAACAAAGGAATGTGAGGTAAACAGACTTTAACTGAGGAAGCTTTTATTATCCCTAATCTTCACCTTATGACCTAAAGCTCTAAAATAAGAACTGGCTGCCTTCAGCCTGTTCCGTAAGTTAATAAAAACCTTTCAGCCTTACAAAACGTTTGAGACTACAATCTTATAACTTCCCTAATAGTTATCTTAATATTTTGCTAGCCATCCCAAGTGAATCTCAGCTTTCACCCTTGGGAAATCCATTCACTTATTTGGGATAAATAGTAATATACAACTGTGTCAACATCCATTCACTACTTCAGCTGAATTCCTTCCTCGATTCTGGAAACCAGAGAGAATACCTTAGAATTCTGCTAAGTATTTGGTAAAAACTTGTTGTTTAGTCACTATTTCCACATGTCTAGATAGAGAGTGAGCATTTATCAATCCAGCTCATTCAACCATTCCTAAATGGGAAATCTCCTTCCTTCCTTTCTTCTTTCCTCCCCACTTCCTCCCTCCCTCCCTTCCTCCCTTCACCAGTCACCAGTCACCATCTTCTACCTCTGTCTCATTCTCACGGCCTTCTCATTTTTTGGTGCTATCTTCTTTCTCTGTTCACAACACAAATTATCATGGCCTCTAAGCTTCTGACCTTAGCTCTCTTATCTTCATTTTCTATGGGTATATACTTAAGAAATTCGTTCAGATCCTTGGCATATATTCATTCAATTCTTTGGCAGAGTAACATCCTAATGACAAACAAATCCAGCCCAGATAGACCCACTGAGTTCCAATGCCATGCATTTACTTCCTACTGCATATATGGGCACCTACAAACCTCCCATGCACTCCCATCACAACATACCCAAAACAAAGTCAGGATTAGCCTTG